CTGCGGCTCACGAGCCACATGCGGCTCTTCCGCAAAATACCATGGCCTGGGCAAGTCTATTTTGAAGTGGCGTTAGAAGAAGTTTAAAAAATTTGGCTCTCAAAAGAAATGTCAGTCGTTGTACTGTTGATATTTGGCTCTGTTGGCTAATGAGTTTGCCGATCATTGGACCAGACTGTGAAAAGGCACTAAGCCTACCAGAACTGATGAGTGGGATTTAGTCTTTTTCTTCTTGTAATATCTCCGGGAAGCACTTCCATGGTGAAGCTGCTGCAGTATTTGTCCACTGTGCTATGAGGATTATAAAGTCTCAGAATGCAGACCTGCAAGTTGAAATGGTTCTCCTATGTAGTTGAGATCAGAGGAAGAATGGATCCCTGCCCTCAGAAAAAAAGGAAGAGATAAAGATCTGTAAAGAAAGAAGCTAGAATAAAGTGTACCTTGGGTCAATTTTAGTAAGCTTAAAAGGAATATGCAGTTGCACAAACACTGGTGTTAGCCCTTTGAAGAAAGTTTTATTTTTCTGAAAAAAATAATCAGTTATGCTCCATAAAATGTGCATTTTTTAGATAGCTGGACAAGTAACAGAAATATAAAAACACACTTGATCTTTAGGTCAGCATAATTTTATCTCTGCAAAGCAACCAAACTTTTGAGAAAGCAAAGAATTCAACCACAGCGACTTAACTATTCAATTCTGAGCCCCTGATAGATCTCTAGACTAATTCAGAGAAATAGCATACTTACTGCTTTGTTCATTACTGTGGAAAAATGCCTTAAAACTCATTTGTGTAAGAACATGACCTACTACTGTAGGAAAATCCAGCCCCTAGTGGGAGAAGGAATTGGTTCAGGAAGTTTCACATTAGTCCCCTAGCACCTTGGGAGGTGGGTTTCACGTTAATATAAAAAACAAGGAAGTGTCCCAAGGTTATAGAGTAAATCTGGGAATATGGCATAATTTAATTGTTTCGAATCTTGAGATTTTGGCGGTCTACTTGAGGAACAATGATGTGTCAGTGTTAAAATGCAATTGTTGCCGAAACCGGTTTGGCTCAGTGGTGGAGCGTCGGTCTGCAGACTAAAAGGTCCCAGGTTCGATTCCAGTCAAGGGCATGTACCTGGGTTGTGGGCATATCCCCAGTAGGGGGTGTGCAAGAGGCAGCTGGTCAATGTTTCTCTCTCATTGATGTTTCTAGCTCTCTATCTCTCTCTCTTCCTCTCTGTAAAAAATCAATATATTAAAAAAAATAAAATGCAATTGCTTTCATAATCATTCCAAGCAACTAGGTAAATCAGTATTAACTATTACACTACACAGCACTTCTATTTTTGAACCAATAATACAGGAAGAAATGCATAGTTACAAACACAATGCATTACCAAACGTTTTTGTATGATTAACTACACTCCCTTAGATAAAAAATCCAAACAGCTTGCTACATAGAGGGGAAAATCCCAACCCAAGAAATAAAAAGCTACAAAACTTTGTTTTCTTTAGAAAAAGTCCCCCCCCCCTTTTTTTTCTGTTGCCTGATTATATTTTCAGATGAAAGCAATAAAAATTAAAATGCAGCCCAGAGCAATTTTATCTCCAAGTAAAATGGATATAATTGTAGCTTCTGAAAACTGAAGCCAGAAATGTGTTCACTTGTCATAGAGAAATAGAAGGTTTTTGTAATACTATATGGAAAACTATGCTAATACCCAGCAGGCAGATATTAAATTTGGAATGTCCTTTGTTGCCACTACAGATTTATAATTTTCTAAGGCAATGCAGCCAACTTTAATTACTCATGGACTGAATATTGTATCTTACACCATTCACTTCTTAAACCTATCCCTGCTCACTAAAAACCTCCCATCGACATTAAATTGGGGTAAACTTTGAAATGTGTGTTAACTTTGCTATTAATGAATGCTTTGATTAAAATATGTTTAAAGTTAATGGCTAAGTCCTGGTCAGAGTGGCTCAGTTGGCTGGATTGTCGTCCCGTGCAACAAAAGGTTGCGGTGTGATTGCTGGTCAGTGCACATACGTAGGTTAAGGGTTTGATTCCTTGGTCAGGGCATGTACTGGAGGCAGCCCATTGATGTTTTTTGATTTTTTTCTCTCTTCCTTCCTCTCTAAAATCAAAACATATCCTCTGGAGAGGATTAAAAAAAAAAGTTAATAACTAATATTAGACTAGCTATGGTTTTCTGCATAAGACTATATAAATTGATCCAAGTTATTTTAAAAAATAAAAAATTTAACAGCAAAATAAATTTTTATTTCCCCCCAAATTTGCAATACAACATGCATCTTCATATAATGTATTTGTTATGTGAGTAGGAACTGGTCAACAATTTGTTAATATAAGTTTTTCTGAGAAGTCCAGTTTGCATGTACTGCTTGCTATCCGGCCTCCTTAAAATAAAGAGAACGTCAGCACCCAGGGACAGTGATGAGAAACAGAAGTCCATCTTCGCATTTGCGGTTCTTAGTACCTGTAATTGTATCTTAGTGCAATGACTCCTGGAAGGTGGTCTCCAGACCACCACCACGTTTAGGCCTCATATTCCCTGGTAAAGGATATTCCTGTCCCACCAGGTTTAAAAGACCAATCAAGACAAGACAGGGTTTTCTATGGTTACGCCATAAGGGGATTAGTAAGTGCTACTTTGCTCTTTTCAAGTTCAGAAAAACTGAGTCATAATTTGTAGAAAACTCTCAATACAAAGGTGCTCTTCAAGAGAAATACCATTCTCAGCACCTACACATTCGAGAGCAAACATGAACTAAGTGACTCCTCAGGCTAAATGACCCAAGAAATCACATTTTTCAACAATGGGGTAAACTTTAAAAAAACCCAAAAGAAAGGAAAAGCTCTAACTATGAAAAAAGATGCTATATTCAATTTTTTTTTTTTTCTTAGCTGAAACCTGGTTTCTCTCATCAGTTAAAAAGCCTGGGGAAATTAATAAAAATAATCCAAATAATGCAGTTGAATGCCATGATGTCATGAGAAGACTACAGACAATGAGTTTTCTCTGGTTTCAATTAACTATAAATTATCTCCTGTCCCACAAACTTTAAAAACAAGTCACAAAATCCACATTAGAATATAAGTTTTTTAATTTTTATAAATAACTTATCTGTTACAAAGATAGTTTACCCAGCTAAATCACAAAACCATCAACTCAAGATATCCAAATTACATTTTATTAATAAAACAAGTAAAAACTGATTTATCAATCTTCACATAGAACTGCAGAGGAAGCTGAAAAACAAGGCCTATTTTAAAGCAAAATGCATCAAATGTAAGGGCTGTGGGTCTACTGTCTAATTAACTAGGATTGTCATATTTCTTCACATATACACAGTGCAAAACCTGGAATTCAAGGCTTTGACATTCATATAGATCACCTGTAATAATCCTGTTTATTTAAAAAATATCCATTTGCAAACATTTACAATGGGTGACAGTCTACATTATCTCCTATCTTTTGCTACATTTCAGCACTTCCATTAGCCCCATTCTAAGCACTGATATATAATTTCATAATTCTTTTTAAATGCATACTGTTATTTCTTTTCTTGATTTTATTTAGTTATATACATTCCTGATCATCTGAATATTTATTTTCCTTATAAAAATATATCATGAAAATAAAGAGATGCTTGAGGTTGCTTCAGTGTTCAAGTTTGCTTGTTTTTCTTTTTTTTCCAGCTTTTCTTCAGTTGTCCTAAATATGACTAGCCTTGTTTTATAAATACACATGATACTGCCACCAAGTCAGGTTTAGAAACAAATTGCCCCAACAGTAAAGCATCTAAACTTCTCTTTCAAAAAAACAGGGGCTGTAGGTACTGCTGCTGTTGCTGGTTTTGAAACTGTACTTTCCCAATAGTGATCTCTTGTGGAAGTTCTGTGGGACACCAGGCAGATGAAGCAAGTGTAACCTTGTTGCTCTTTCAGTGGGTTAAAAATATCTTGTTTTAAGCTTCCCCGTGGAAGACAGAACACTGTTGTGTCACCCACCACTAAAGTCAGTCTATAGTGTGACCTGTAGACAAAGGTCTTGTAATATTTCTTGCAATTCATTGTGCAGCATCTGTATGTCTTCACAGAATATCGGCACTCATGAGGGTAAAGCACAGAGGAAGTAGAGGAAGTATTTTGTGCATAGTTTCATTTCATTAATGCTTTTTTATCTTAAGGCATTGCTTCTTTTGGGTAAGGCTTAAAAAGGGACATGATCGTGCTTACTCACTAAAAGGAAAAAAGAAAATTAGTTAACAAAAGACTATTACACTATACATATAGAAATATAAGGAAATAATAAAGGAGAAAAGAAATCACTTAAAGCAGACTTGAGAGATCTGTACAGTAGGAAAGCGTTGGGGTACTTCACTGCATGTTTGTACAGACAATGCATGCTGCTTTCCTGTTCATCTTTAGACCCTAGATGCTGGCTTCAGAGTGGAGACGTTTTCAGGGAAGACAAAGACAAGGCCAAGAGTACCACAGATGTGTGAAGTTCTTCCCCTCTCCGCGGGCACTGTGCGGCAGCAAACAGTTTTTTAAATAAACCTTGTTCTTTTTCTTCACGTTTGTAGTGTTTCACTGAAAGCTTAAAAAAAAAAGCCATCGTTTTATTCCTTCCTCCTGTCAAAATTCAGTAGTGACATGAGGGGAAAAAGGAATTGGGAACACGTAGGCACTAATATTTTGAGAATTATCCGTAATGGGCTACTGGTAACACTGTACATGGTTAGGCAGCGGGCAACCAAGTCTTTCAGCAGATTACCTTTCATCCGATGAATTTCAACTGCCCATGATATTAGACTGAGGTATTATTAGCTCCGTGGGCTGACACTGAACATTAGCACAACACCATCTTGTCACACCTTCAATTTGACAAAATCCTAAGTAGCAGTGAAACTTTCCCCCTGATGACAGACTAGTTTCTTGAACTTCAGATGTGGTTTTGGAGAAGATGTAAGGCCTACTGGCTCAGAAATGCCTTGGCATCTCACACTGTTCACAGCGGATTAAGGCTGGATGGTTCAAAAAAGTACAGGCAGTGCAATTCCACTGAGCCCCCTCATCATCTTCTGTATCTTGGGTCTTTGGTGTTTTGATGGTGGGCCTTTGATCTGTAAGGAAGCAAAATAGTTATTTTAGAAGGGAAAATCACCAAGTCATAAACTACTGGCAATCTTAAGCACTATTTGTACTACACAGCATGAAGTCAGCTGTTAACCAGATGAAGCATCTAACTGAAAATGACACACAAGCTTGGTCCCCTCACCAATCTCCATCAAGTTGTTACTTCTCCCCTGGGGAATAGCTACATAGACATTAGGTAGTCAGTCACCTCAATATCTTCATAAAGGGGAAGCCAGCATCATTTCCCCCAATTTATAGCAGGAGAAAAGGAAAATCAAATCATATAGTACTGATAGCAAAGATTCCCATAATGTCACCTGAGATTGTGGAAAGGTGTCCTACCACACAACACAATACTTACAGTGAATTTATATCTCATTAAAGTTAAGAGTTTCATTTCCCATTGAGCAATATTTCTATTCTCTACCAGGAATGTAAGTTTTTGTTAAATGTTCTTTATCTGCTGAAAATGTAAGCTTTGAACACAAAATATAAAGATGGAATAATTTCTATAATCTTATTAACTGATAAGAGACCCTGGAGAAGTTAACAGGGTAAAAAATTTTCCATTTTTTATTTTATTTTAAAATCAAATTTAGTGTGAAGCAGTGGAAAGAACACTAGATTGAAGGTTGTGAGAATGGAGTTCTACATCTGGCTTTGCTCCTAACTCCTGATTCCTCTGCTCTGTGATCTTAGATAAATCACGGATCCTTTTGTCTAATCTTTCTTACTGATAAGTATAAAGTCGGTGCAGCTTTAAGAGGCCAATGTTCTAGAGTTTTTGAATGAATAGAGAGATCTTAAATATAAGGAATTATTGTATATCTCCAAAGTTGTGACTAAAATGAAATTATACTTAGAGATCGTTTTTAGGGGGATCCCATTATAAATTTGGAATAGTATTCCTTCAAATTATTTTAGGAAAGTTTAAAGTAAAAGGAAAATGTATTATTAGATCTCTCCTGTCAGGTTTATAATTTAATGATTTAAACTATTAAAACAATGTGTATTAATTTGACAATTCTTCCTACTATCATTCAGTTACTGAGACAGTAACTAAATGGTATCTTTCCTGCTATTTTAAAAGAAAACTATTGTATTAGATGGAAATATAGAAAGCTTTTATAACAAATTAAAAATAATTAAACGGTGTTTAGTACTTTGTGCCCCTTTTATTTACGCATTAATTTTCAGGAGCACTTTATTGCAAAACTCCCAAACTCAGGCATTGGTCACAATTTTTAGGCACATGCATGAGCAACTTGAAAATACTTAAAAAAAAATCAAGGATCTGACAATACTAGTATCCCCTAAAACACCTTAAAATAAATTTCAGATTTACTCAGGTGTTAGAAAACATTCTTGGCACATTTTTTTGAAACTGTCTACCCTTTTGGTTTAACTACAAAGGATTCTTAGGTAGAAGGGGCAACTCAATCTAGAATAACATTTCAATCTATTATTAAATACCAGCATCTTCTTAATTATTAATATCTAAGGTAATTAATAGAGGAGCTATACTTTTTAAAATGAAAAATCTCTATTGGTTTTCTTACATCTGCACAATCTCACTTAGTACTTAAAATTACAAATCATTTTATTAAAGATTCTTGGAAACTAAACCATCAGAACTGAAAAAAGAAGTTACTTTGCACAAGATGGCCTGTAATTCCAGCTGTTTAAAGAACTGATCTGATGTTAAGAACTAAATAAACCAGTGAAGCTAATAACTTCTCATTTTAGCCTGAAGGCAAAAATGACTGATTTGTTATTTCTTAAAAAATAACCAGGTACAAGTTTCTATATTTTGTGAAAAAGCTTTTAAGTAATAAATTAAAAATTTTTTTTGCCATGCAAAATTTCAAACATATATACGAAAGTAGAGAGAATAGTAAAATAAACCCTCATGCACTTATCCCACTTCAATAATCATCAAGACCAGTCTTATTTATTTTATATATATTCTACCTCTTTCCTACACTTTCAACACACAAGTACTTTATGTTGAAGCAAAACAAAAAATTTTTCTTAGATTTTAGTTTGTGAAAGAGTAAAAAGATAATTTATAGGCAACTCATTCAGAATCTGAAATACCTTTTTTTTTTTTTTTAAGGAAATAGGCTATGCCACCATTTTCTTTATTCCTTAACACCAAATAGCATCCAGTGTCTGAACACTTGTGTACTGTGCCGAATGCCCTAGTCTCACCTTTGCTCCGCTATAATAACAGTTCATTACATTTCAGCTATGTTTAAAAACATTTAAGTAAAAAAAAAAAAAATCAAGATTAGGTAGGCCTAATTAAATTATACTTAAGTTAATGCCTGGAGTAAAAATTCCACACACATATTTTGACATATCCTAGTTTGGAGAGCATATACTCTATTAATGTCAATGCTGTAAAATAATAGTACGTGATAGAACTTCCCTATTATATCTTCCTCATCATGTCAAAATTATAAAGAATACAAATTTTTGCACCTGATGATTTTTTTGGGGGCCAAGATTGATATTTTGGGAGTGAATCTTAAGGACATCTACTTTTTAAAGAGCTAAATACTTTATACTTTTGCATCCTCCCCAACCCTGAGCATGTAAATAAAAATCAACAAATATGTTCCTAATGAATCCATCCAAAAATGTCTAAGTTTGAAGCACTTCTAGAGAGGAAGGTTGCTAAAAATAATGTTTTCTGAAATCTTGCTTTCAATACGTAACAGTTTTCACACTTAATGGATACACTAACCTTTGGGTTTTGGTGGCACAGGACCTACAAATCCAATATTGTCATAAAAGTTATGAATAGCGCTGGGATTAAAATGTGGTCCTGAAATATATAAAAAGTAAATATTTCAATGTTTATAGCTCCAAATATTTTTTTTAAAAAACCAAATATTTTATTTCTAAAAAATAATCACAGAAATGCTTTTCATTTATTTTGTACCTCTAATCTCAAATTATATGTAAGGATTTCAAAACCGCTGAGATAGGCATAGTAAAGTACTCATAAGAGAGGTTATAAGTGGTAAACTGGGGAAGAAGTCAAACTAATGCTAGTAATACAGTGATATAATTAGAACCAGACCCCTGTTCTATGGGACAAAATAAAATACCTAACAATTTAAAATATAATTTTAAATGATCAAACATGGCCTTAAGCAACTAAACAGCTTGGCCTCCAATACGTATAAAAACTTTGCACTGATGTAATATAATGGTTCAGATTTTAAACAAAAGGAACAAATTCAGAATTATAGTTTCTAGACCAGCCCTTTCTTTTTCTCTCCAAAGTTAAACTATGGCATTTGCTATGAATGTTTCAAGATAAACAGCTTACTAACGTTTTAAAAGAAAATAGAATGAATCATCTTTCAGTTTTAATGGCTCTGGCACACATTCAAAAGTGTGACTGAGGACTTCTTTTTCTGTTGGCTTCCCTCCCTTTCCTATCTTTTCCATTTTATATATTTCTATTATTTTCCAAACTTAGAATTAGGTTTAAGTTATAAAATGTCATTCTAATTGTCTATGAAATTGAATTAAATTGTAAATTTTTTAAAAACTACAATAAGTATCGATTACTTGTTAATAATAGTTCAAGATAATAAACTATTATTGTCCTAAAAATGTACAAGCCATATTTTTATTTTCTTTCCTATTTGTCAATTAAGATAGTGTCATTAGTTGGGGATGCTTTTTAAAATATGTTTTGCATGCATAATTCTTGAAAGGTAAAAGGACAAATGGGAAATACTAAAAAGGTGTATGAGCACATACATTTTAATGTTAATAAATGTGATGTAGCACTTTCACTAATATGAAATAGCTAATAACACATTTCACTTAATACATAATAGCTAATACTTTTGCAATGCAGCCAGAGATACTAATCCTTGTCTTCCTTTTAACACATGACTGAAGCAGATTTGGAGGACATAAATGCATCAAATTATTCCTCAACTAAATATATAATATTTTTTTAGGGGGGTGCCAGGGGAAGAGCACATAAAAACCAATAGTTCTTTAGCACTATCTGGATCTAAAGTCAAGTCTGAAACAATAAGATTATGATTGATAAATCTGTTTTCAGCCACAGGAAAATAGTTGGTATATTTATACATTGAATTTCTGCTGAATATGCACTGAACTTTACCTCGGGCTTGAAAAAGATCAATTTCTTTGGTTAAGCAGTCAATGTCAATCTGGAGTTGTCTATTACAACTTCTCAACTGCTGCATTTCTTCCAGCTGAAAGATAATTCCATGTGAGAAGGATCTACATTGAATTCTCGTGTCATTAGTTAGAAACAGTTGAGTTTGGCAGGGGAAGGTAAGAACAGAAGAACAAGTATGAATTAAGAGCTTTTAAAACTAGATCAAGCTTTTATACTTATGACAGATTGCCTATTCACACGTTCAAGCACAGAGGCCACAACAATTATACAAAGACTTACTGAAGGTATTTGGGATATGGAATTCGATCTTTTCAGGCGCCTTCGAGTTAGATTATTTTCCATTTCATTGACCTCAGATTTTAGTTTATCCAGCTTTTTCTTTTGAATCTCAAGTTCTCTTTGAAGTCGTTCCATTCTGGCCTTTTGGTGTACCAATAGAGCTGCAATACATATTAGTAAACATGAGGACTCACCCACTTTAGTCAATTAACCTTTCAGCAGCCTTGTGAAAACAAAACAAACGAATATTTCTGTGACAAGAGTTTGCCAAGAATGTCAAAGATACATTAAAACAAAATATTTTGAGTTTAAACATTTCAAAATATTGTGAGTTTAGAAATTTCAAAAGTTCTTAACTTGAAAATTACCTTAATTAGTTAAGTGGACAAATGTCACTCTTTAAAAAAATTTTTTTTAAGGGTTTGGATAAACCCACTTTATGGCCAAACACAACATTTTTAGACTATTAACTTCGCTAAAGGCTCTGGTCTAGTCAATTAACCTACTGACTACTTCTTAATCTACATCTAACCTTCTGAAAGCCCTTTTACTCCCAAAAGTCTGATATGTCTTAACATGCAGAAGGTATTAAGAGAAATATTTTATAAATATTTTTAAAGGAGTGAATTAGGTTTAACTTATTTTGATGAATCAACAAATAAAACAGATTGATTTTAATCCACATAAATGTTAACATTAAGTTGTTGAAATTTCAGAATAAAAACTATATATTGAGAGAAATCAAATATATATCTTCTTATATTCCAATCACATTTTATAAAAATATTTTCCTAATGTATTTTTAAAAAGCACACAAGTAGCATGAATGATGAACTGCTTGGGAAATCTATTAAGTCATAAAAATTGATGTATGTTCTTGTGAGCCATCCCTGGACAGTATGAGGCTCATTTTTTTTTTTTTTTAGGATACTGGATTGAAAGTGAAGACACCTGAATCCACTTCTATTAAAAGGCAACTTGGGATGATCCTGCCATGAGAAAACAGGCAAATTTGGAAAAGCACAATAATGCTGAACAGTCATCTTCAACTAAACTAAAACTTGCATGAATCTAAAAAGTAAGGAAAAGGCTATGGCATATTAATATACATTCAGGTCATTTAATCTAGTAGTGTATTCTAGAACCAGAATTAGGGTGTGGATTGGGGAAGGCTGTTAGGTTCAAATACTTCAAAATGAACTTTGAACAGCTGACAATTTTCCCCAACAAAAATCTGACACTAATACAATCCACAGATGTTTCCCTCTGTAATTTTCCTTTCTTATTTACTGGAAGAAACAAATATGAGGGCATTATGTTTCAGTTTTAAAAACCATGGTTAATTCTGATAAGCACTAAAATCCTGGTATCTTCCCTGCCTTTAATATATATTGCATAACACAGGGATTGTGTTTTTGAAGGTACACATATTCGTGGTTGAAAACCTGTCTACCCCAGCTTGTTTTGTCAATTTGATTTTATTTAAACTGCAGTTTTATCCCTCTATTATCAAAACATAGGAATCCTGCATTAGGGTTTATTTATTGTCCTAAAAGATGAGGACATGGGTTTTATTTTTTGAGTGAACAACAAGAAAAGAGGGAGGCAAGAAGTGGAATGCATGGAAAGGCAAAGGCAAACCAGAAGTAAGATACTTTCCTTCATTTCTAAACTCCAACCACCTACCAACATGTCTTAAGTGGCATTAACTAATCATTTGTTCAAATTAATAATTATTTAAAAGTAGCATTTCTTAAAATGCTGAAGATTTTTTCCTAAGAAAGTCGCTATATATTTTTTAAAATGTGTAAAAGAATAATTAAAGACATTTATTTAGTGGTTCTAATGACTAAACGACGGTTTGATTATGCTGAAATTAGAAAATAAGATATACATCTGTGATGTCATTCAGTATTCTCTATGGAGAGGGGGATGAGAAAAGATTACCTGAGAAATGGAAATTCAGTTTATATCACACTTGAGTGGTCATAATTTAAACCACAGGGCAGACAGAGACTTCAGGGTTTGAAATTATTGTAACCACTAGTGGCCCTGCCGCACTGCAGTTCACTGCCCTGCCCTTGTATAGTTCTCCCTGCTAGTAGCTGCTGCCATGCCCTCCTGCTGATGGGTTGTTACCATCACATGTAAAGACCATTTGCATATTACCTCTTTATTATATAGGATTAGCCCAGGCTGGTGATTTTCTTGGGGTGCCTGGAAGAAGCAAATGCAAACTGCTCCAGCAACCCACTTCCACCACTAGGGAGCTACTACAATGGGATTCACAGAGGAAAAATACTCAATGAAGAGAAGTTCTCAATAGAAAAATTATGACCAAATATGAATATATTTATGCTTAAATGCAAGCCCTAAAATAATACTATGAATCTAATGTCTTAGAACTTAAGAGGCATTTATTTCTTGTAAAAATAAAACCTTAGAATGAGCCGAAACCGGTTTGGCTCAGCGGTAGAGCGTCAGTCTGCGGACTGAAAGGTCCCAGGTTCGATTCTGGTCAAGGGCATGTACATTGGTTGTGGGCACATCCCTTGTAGGGGGTGTGCAAAAGGGGGCTGGTCGATGTTTCTCTCTCATCGACGTTTCTAGCTCTCTCTCTCTCTCTCTCTCCCTTCCTCTCTGTAAGAAAAATCAATAAAATATATTAAAAAACAAACAAAAACCTTAGAATGATTATGTTAGAAATGACAAACCTAGTTTGTAGACTACTCAAGATCTCTTAAACATGTCTATTAATTACAAACAAGCTATAAATGCTCTGAAAACAGTAGGAAAGAGTTCTGATCTCTGTTTCTTGGCAATTCTTTCTTCTATGTGCCTGGATTTTTATATGTCTAGTTCCCTTTATATTTGTGATCTGAGATTTTTACATAGAAATATCCAGGGTCTAAAAAAAGAGGAAAGCTTGGAAAGAGACTCAGGAAAGCTTACAAAAATGAGGGCTACAGTTATGGGAAGAGGCTAGAAAATTCTACCTCTTCTACGGGAAATGAATGAATAGGGATTTAAGGGATCCCTTAGTCTGGCTTTTTACGTTTTTCTTTCTTTTGGCATAATAACTGGTATCAAACAAAATTATACCAACCACACATATACATGAATTAATAAGCTCATGCACATCCAATAACACATACTTATATAGGAGGGGTGATTTGTTACAGACTCCAGTAGGTTAGCTGAAGGAAAAAAAATCTCCCCATTTCTATTATTTACATACTAGAGTCTTGTTGCACGAATTTGTGCATGGGTGGGGTCCCTCGACCTGGCTGGCAATCATGGGGCTGGTTGGGGTCGTCTTGCCCAGTCCCGACTGGGGCCAATGGGGTTCAGCCAGTTGTGGGGGAGGGACTTCGGGAGGTTGGCTGACAATGGGAGGTTGGCTGTGGGAGCAAACTCCTACATTGAGTGTCTGCCCCCTGGTGGTCAGGAAGTGTCGTGGTTATCTTCTGGTCATCTGGGTGTTAAGAGTCGCTTAAGACTGTTATTAGATAGATATACTAATATGGACTTAAAAAGCCAATCTATGAAGAATAAATTATATTAGGATTTTTGTTTAAGGATAATTTGAGCATTGTATTTATATATATTCTACTGCCTCTCAAAACCCCATGAAAATGAGATGAATAAAACTGGTACAATCCAATGGTACAATAGAAAGTAAACAATTAATGGACAAGAGATCTCAGCCAGTTTCTGGAAGATTGAATGAGAGCAGATGAAATGGCATAGACTTATGAGGAGGGTGAAGAAAGCTAGTCTCATTAGCTAAGAGAGCACTTAACACAGAGGCAGAACTTGCCCTGCAGAAATCTAGAGACTCCAGACTGGAGAAAAGAGGTAACAAAAGGAGACAAAAATGAGGAATGGGCCAGAAATCAGGAGCTTAATTGGATGTCTGTTTATAGAACAATCAACCTCTCCCATCCCATTGAAGGGAAGTACCTGTAAGCTTATTTGTAAGGCTCCCAAACACATTTCTCAAGCTGGTCCACAAACAGAGAATGCTAGGTGGTGATGATGGAGTGTTCTCTTATAGCAGCTGGCTCCTGACTTATCAACACAAAGCCGTATGTCAAGTAACTAATCTCACTTTTTACAAAGAATTTTCAATTAGCCTTCAAAGTCCTTTATTCTTAAAATGTATGAACCAATAGACAAGGACCACAACACATCTGAGGATCATTTGATAAGAAAAAGATCTAGATAAACAATGGGAAAGACCAAATCCAGGTTAAGTGAAGATAACTGAGGAGAGCCAAGAAGTTAAATGCTAATAAATAAGACAATAATGTACCCACAAAACACAAATCTGCTATGAAAAAGGAGTTAGAGAACTAGGTATCAGAAATTTAAAAACATCACTGCTGAAATGAAAATTTCATATATAGATTGGAACAAAAATTGTAGAATAGAAAGACAAGGTGGTGGAATATATGAGGATATGTCAATGCAAAATCATTGTGTCTATGTACAGAAGCAATGTATATAATGTGCATATAGAATATATATAAATGTATGTATACAAATATATATACCTTGATAAAATGAAATATCCAATTATATTACAAATATTTAAACCATAAGACTATAACTGCAGTTTCATTTGTGGTATTTGCACTGAACCACTATTTCAAGAGTTTACAGATCATCACACTGTATTTATAAATCATCAACAAAAATGGCAGGAGGATGCTGCACGGACATGCTCCCAGGAACAAGCTGGAATTACAACTGAAATGCAGAAAGGCTTCCTGAATAATCAATAGAAAACTCACAGGAGAGAACCCTGATACCCAAGGACTGAAGGTGGAGACTGCACAGAGACTGGTAGGAGGATTGAAGGCTGGAAGGGACTGAGTCATTCCCTTAACCATTGGAGGACATTTAGCTAAGTACACAATTGTACCTACATGTTCCCAAAAACTCTAGTTTAGCACTTCTTAGCTGGGATTCAGGAATCTGTATTTTAACAACTCCAGGTGATTCTCATCATGAGAGAAGTTTGGGAAACACTAGTGTAGAGGATCTACCTAAAACATAGTCACAAACCCAAACAGACAACTAAAATGAGGAAACACCCCCCCAAATGAAAGAACTAGTGAATTATCCAGAAGAGATAAATGAAGCAGAGATAAAAATT